ATAGGAGCTGTGGGGGGTAGAGGTACGGGTTAGGGTTAGGATAGGAGATGCTCTTTGAAGAGGTGGGTCTTCAAGAGTTTCTTGAAGATAGACAGGGACTCTGCTGTTCTTGTGGAGCTTGGTAGGTCGTTCCACCATCTTGGAACGAAACATGCAAACAGTCTGGATTGTCTTAAGCGAGGTGAAGGCACTGCTAGACGACAATCCATTGATGACCGGAGTGATCAAGTTGTGACATAAGCCTTTGCAAGGGGATTCAAGTAGATGGGAGCCATACCCCTAAGCACTTTGTAGGCTAGCATCAGGGACTTGAATTTGATACGGGCAGCCAGAGGTAACCAGTGGAGGTTCAATGGACAGTGGGGTGACGTGAGATTTTTTGGGCAGATTGAAGACCAGACGCGCCGCCGCGTTCTGGATCATTTGTAAAGGTTTTACTGTACAGGCCGGGAGACCAGTCAGGAGTGCGTTGCAATAGTCTAGGCGGGAGATGACCATAGACTGCACCAGGAGCTGGGTAGCATGTTGTGTTAGGTACGGCCGGATCTTTCTTATGTTTAGTAATGCGAAGCGACAGGATCGAGAAACAGAGGCAACGTGATCTTTAAAGGTCAACTGGTCATCAATCATGACACCCAAGTTTCTTGCTGCCTTTGATGGAATCAGAGAGAGGGATTCAGTTTGGATGTGAATATTGTGGTGAATAGTTGGTTTGGCTGGAAAGACAAGCAGTTCAGTTTTTGAGAGATTCAGCTGGAGGTGGTGGGCTTTCATCCATTTTGATATGTCAGAGAGACAGTCTGAGATGCGTGCTGAGACCGAGTGGTCATCAGGTGGGAATGACAGATAGAGCTGTGTATCATCAGCATAGCAGTGGTAGGAGAAACCATGTGATTGAATGATCTGGGCCAAGGAAGTGGTATATATAGCAAAGAGAAGAGGTCCAAGTACTGAACCTTGAGGAACCCCTGTGGCGAGATGGTGCACTGCAGAAGTGTGACCAAGCCAGGATACTTTAAATGATCGACCAGTGAGGTACGATTCAAACCAGGAGTGTGCTCTCCCTATGATGCCCATACTCGAGAGTATAGACAGAAGGATGTCATGATTGACTGTGTCAAATGCGGCTGATAAGTCAAGAAGGATAACTACTGAGGACTTGGCATTTGCTCTTGCCTCTTTTAGGGCTTCTGTCACAGACAACAGAGCCGTTTCAGTGGAGTGGCCACTTTTAAACCCAGATTGATTTGTATCAAGGAGTTTGTTTTGTGAAAGGTAGTCTGTGACCTGCTTAAAGACTGCCCTTTCAATGGTCTTTGACAGAAATGGAAGCAGAGAAACCGGCCGATAGTTTTCCACCTGAGTTGGTGGGAGAGAGGGTTTTTTGAGCAGCTGTGTGACCAAAGCTTGCTTGTATGAGTTAGGAAATGTGCCAGATGTCAGCGAAGCATTGATCACATGTGTGACTGCTGCAGTAACTGTAGGAGCTATGGACTGGAGTAGGTTTGTAGGAACTGGGTCCAGCAGGCATGTAGTAGGACGGCTACATGTGAGAAGTTTGGACACATTGCTCTCAGTGAGAGGAGCGAAGGAGGAGAACAAAGCAGTAGGACTTCTGCTTGTATATGTACTATGAGAAGTTTCATGTGCAAGCCGTTCAGTAAACTGTTTGCTTACAGCTGCCACTTTGTCAGTAAAAAATGAGGCGAACGAGTCTGCCATTAAGCTAGTAACAGGTGGCGGAGGAGGAGGTTTAAGCAGATTTTTGAAGATGGAGAATAATTTTCGAGTGTCGGTTGTACTGTGAATCTTATCAGTATAGAAAGTCTTTTTTGCATCAGTCATGCTTAAAGAGAATGCAGACAGCAGTGCCTGAAAATTTGTTAGATCATCTGGATTTTTTTATTTGTGCCATTTTCGTTCTGCAGCTCTAAGGCTGGTGCGTAGTGCTCTGAGTGTATCATTGAGCCATGGGTGGGACCCAGAGGCTCGAGCAGGTTTAGTGGATAGAGGACATAGACTATCCAGGCAGGAGCTCAATGTAGAGCAAAGGGTCTCCGTGGCCTCATTAACCTCAAATGAGGAAAATGTGCTGGAGTTCGGGAGAGCGGACGCAACATGGGAGGAGAAGTGGGTAGGTGAGAGTTTGTGGAGGTTTCTGCGGAGGGAAACCATAGAGATGGAAGCAGAGGGATTTTTGGGAAGATTTGCACTGAGTTGAATGAAATAGTGATCAGAAAGGTGCAGAGGTGTGACAGAGAGGGCCTCTATAGCACATTTTCTTGTGAAGATGAGATCAAGTGCTTTGCCAGCTTTGTGAGTTGGAGGACTGCTGACCATTTGTAGGTCAAAGGAGTTCATTAGTGAGAGGAAATCAGAGGAGTTAGCGCAGCCAAGGTGGATATTCATATCACCAAGGATCTTTGTGGGACAATCATATTCATGGATGGAGGAAAGTAGGATATCGAGTTCATTTAGAAAGTCGCCTAGTTGCCCTGGTGGGCGATAGATAACAGTCATGCAGATTTTGACTGGTGCAGTGACCAAGATGGCATGGTATTCGAAAGTATTGTATTTGGCATTAGGCATTAGTTGGTTGTATTTCCATTTGTTGGAAATTAGCAAGCCTGTTCCACCACCTCTCCCAGATGTACGAGAGGTGTGGGAGAATGTGTGGTTAATTGAAAGTGCAGCCTGGGTAGCGCTGTTTTCAGGCTTAATCCAGGTCTCAGTGAGAGCCAGGATGTCAAGTGACAGGTGTTTGGCATAAGCAGTTATGAAGTCAGCTTTGTTTACTGCCGATTGGCAGTTCCACAACCCCACAGACAAGGGTGTGTCACAGGGGGAGGTTTCATTAAGAGAGCGGAGGTTGTGAAGGTTGCGGTACCGTTTGATAATGCGGGACCTGCTGCATGAGGTAGTGACAACAGGAATGGAATTGTATTTGTGGCACATTCCACATCAACTTTAGCAGCAAGGAATAGAGCGGCGGGAGAAATAACCTGAGGAAGACAAAATAGATTTCAGTTACTCGATATGTGGGCAGCGCGGGGGCAGTATGTCATATGAACAAAATATTACTTACATTTCTGTGAAATCTTGTGAATGACTGGATCATGTAGAACCGGTGCATGTACACAATGGCAGTGTTAATTGTTAGTTGAGATCTAACATACACCAATTAAGGGCAATTTGTAAATTAGCGCAAATGTAACGAAAAACTCTCATTAAGAAAATACATTGAAAATAATTGCAACTTAAATGGTATGTTTAAACTACATGCCGATTAACACAACCTAGTTCACGTATTTAAAACAAACAACATTGCAGTTTTACCAGATCGGCAAAACAACAACTAAGTTTCATTCTCCTGTTAGCTCAACATATCAAGAAATTAGCCGGAAGAAAGATATAACACGTGATAAAGGAAGCTCCACACGTAAAACGTTTGTCTGCAACAAGCTATCTAAAATACACTAGAGCATACCACTCGGTTTGATGACATGTTGATCTATTCTGTAAGTTAACTCGGCATCTTTAAAGAAAAGGCAAAGCTAATGCTAACGCGATACACGCCCGTCGACCATGCAGGCCTTCTTGGCCCCAGCTCGCTAGTTATGCCAGTGTCAGAAAACGTTTACAAGAAAAGGTAGACTAATTGCCAACCGCTGCGTGAAATAAAGGGAAACACATTAAAACAAAACAACAAGTCATTGAACGAAACACAACAACAAATACCGGCCACGCTATCGGTCAAGCCGGCTTCAAGAAAAGCTAAACTTCACTGGGTAGCTAGCTAATGTTGGCTACGTGCGACAAGCCACGACAAAAGATACACATTGAGCCGCTGTCCCATGTCCTGAAGGAGGTTTGCCGCCTGTTGTCTGTAGGACAGCTCCTTGTCTGGATCAAGCCCAGCTCGCCGAGATGGACTGCTTTCGATTTGTTGTCGGGTATAATACCATTTGTTATTACAGCTTACAGGGAGAGAACGAAGCGAAGCCGCCATCACTGAGAAGGACGAGAGTTTAAAATTTCTGCGCGTCACAGGAACCTACGTCACTAAACCTAGAGGTCTCTGCTGCTCCGCCGATCACAAACAGGCCTGTTCAAGATTTCGACATTTCAGGAGTCTACGAATAATTTTGAGTGCCTTTAAAGATGGGATCCCTTTTTACTACTATTTTTGCACGTGAACTTTAAATTGAAAAGTGTGTCTGATTTAGTTTTGCTTCATTACTGAGATTTTTATTTTTTCACTGTGGCAACATTGAGCTTTGTTATTCTGTTATAGATCTAACCAAATCTATATTTTTAATTCATTAGAATAACATATGAAAAGGTACAATCTTTTAGCTGATCTTTTACCATGCTGTTATATTTTTATTAACCCATTAACATGACAAATGGGCAATGGGGTTGCTGTATCTGGGACACCTGGCATCTGAAACTATTGGCTGTATGAAACATCTGATCTATCTCTTTGAATTTGTCAAGTCTTACATAAATAATGCAGAGCCCCTTTTCCAAAAAACTAAGGTCAACAAAAACTCTACCTAGGTAATTTGTTTGAAGCATAAGTACTTAATAAATTGGCCATACCTTTTGTACTTTCAGCACCTACACTACTCACAATAAGTTATGGACATTGTGAGAGACTCAGTTGATTTCATTCATATGATGTTTGTTTCACTTAAGAGATTTTTAGGATAGAAAGGCAAATGTATTCATCATTCAAACAGCCTTGAACCGATGGTGTCACTTAACAGACGAGCAGTACCACCTTGGTCAAAGAGCTCCTTCGGGTTGGTGGCAGGCAGTCAGATGTTGCTTGTGAACATGGTGTGTCTAAAATTGTCCTCAGTAGAAGACACAGAAAAACTGTATGAGATCATGACATACCCAGCAGTTGAGCCCCATGAGTGACAAACCGCAACGATGACTAGTACCCAAGGACATATCTCTGAAGATTCTCTGTCATCCAGGTCATGATCAGGCTTGAAAGTTCAGTTAGGCAACAGGACATAAAGTTTTTTTTCTCTTTCTTGAATGCCAAACTATCATTGCAGGTCATTCCACGGACACCGAGACAGTGCTGTGAACGTTTGCAGTAGTCACAAGGTCATGTGACCTGGAAAAGGCAGCAGTGGTCTACCCTCTGTCCACTGATGACTGTTGATGGTGGTCAGCATTGCTGCAGAACTCGTGGTGAGCGATAAGCAGAGGTCAACATGGTCCCTAGGGTTCACTTTGGTGGAGGAGGTGCAACAGTCTTGACAGGCATCACTTGTCAGTGCAAAACTTGGTATGGTAGATGGCTCAATCACTGCACGTTCTTACCTCAGAGATATCATAGAACACATAATCATCCCTCAATTCTGCCAGCACACCCCACACTTTCTGCTCATGGATGATGATGCTCCATCACATCATGCCAGAATTGTCATAACTTTGACCTCAGGAAGTGCCATCATTTCATCCCCTCCCCCATCACCAGTTCACCTTCCCCATCTCAGTCAGTTCTGGACTATCACCATTCATCCCCCCACATCCCAGGTATAGTCATCCTCCACCCCCCTCTCCACAGCAGGTGATCAAGTGAGGAGTCAATTTAGCAAAATCAAGACATGGAAGGCCCCTGGATCCAATGACATCAGCCCCCAAATCCTCAAGTGCTGTGCTTACCAGCTCTGAGGTGTGGTTAGGCACCTGTTCGTATACTTTGAGAAAATCCCCTTTCCTCTTCCCTCTCCACATGTCGGACTTCACCCACAGACCAACAAACTCCTACATACAGAAGTTTTCTGATGACACAGCCATTGTTGGTAGTGTCTCTGAAGGGAATGGCCTGGAATACAGGACTTTGTTAGCTGGTGTGAGCAGAACCAGCTTCAGCTCAACACCAAAAAGACAAAAGAGATGATCGTCAACTTCAGGAGGAAGACACCAGACTTCATACCAGTGAACATTCAGAGATCACACATAGAATTGGAGGATAGCTACAGATTCCTGGGTGTTCACCTGAACAAAAAACTGAACTGTAAACACTGACACAATCTATAAGAAGAGTCTCCTCCACCTGTTGAGGAGGCTGAGTTCATTCAGAGTGTGTAGGTCTCTTCTGAAGACATATTATGACTCCGTGGTGGCCTCAGTCATTTTCTATGCTGTGGTCTGCTGGGCAAGGCTAGCACGGACAGGGCCAGGGACAGGAACAGGTTCAATAGACTGATTAGGAGAGCGAGCTCTGTTCTGGACTGTCCGCTGGACTGAATTGAAGTAGTGGTGGAGAGGATGTTGGCTAAGCTGACATCCATCATGGACAACACCTCTCACCCCCTACAGGACATTGTGGGACCACTGAGCAGTTCCTACAGCAGCAGGCTGTTACACCCACGTTGTAAGGAGAGGTATCGCAGATCCTTCTTTCCTGCTGCTGTCAGGATATATAACACATGCACAGCCTGATCCATGATGTTAGCCTCAGTAATCTATTTGTATTTTGGTGTTCAATCAATCTTAAACTGTTTATATTCATATAACATTTTAATAACTCTCACTTATAATTTACCTTTATTTAATTCGTTGCATTGTAATTTTTTATATTTATTTATCTACGCCTTCACTGTGCCTATGCTTTTTCCCTTGTAAATTTCCCCACTGTGGGATCAATAAAGTATTTTAATTCTATTCTGTGTTGGAATGTTGGAAACACTTACCACTGACATTGTAAATTTTTGTTATTTGGGGCTATTCTTGTTGTCTAAATTTTGGGGGTAATAAATATCAAATGACAGCGGTGTTTCTTATTCATTCTTAGTAAAATCAAAGTGAACTTGGACTTATTTAATCAACATTTATATTAAATAGGAAAAGCACACATCTAAATAATATCCCTAATTTATTGTGAGTAGTTTACTTCCATTACAATGATGATATCTACAGACAGAAGGACATCCGTTCAATGGGGACCCCACTGTCCCCTGTAATATCCTACCTCGTGGGATTGGAAAGAAGAGCACTAAGACCTAAACCTGGCCACTGATTCACATATGTTGACAACATCTGGGTCAACTATCTATCTATCTATCTATCTATC